GAAGGAGAAACTATGGTGACTGCAAAAAACCTGTCTACAGTCAGTGTTTGGTTTGTCCATTCTGGGCTACTGTAGAAACATGGTGGTTCAACACGGTGGCCTCCATGGAGGGCGACCTGCAGCATCTTTAGATATAAAAGACTCATTCTAAGATAACAAAAACATAATGATTCATGAAAACATACCTATGAATATTATATTCTATTTCTGCCGATAGATCCTCCTAAATGTTACACACTGGACCTTGTAAAGCATGAAATATGTTTTTAAGTTTTATAGATTTCAAAATACCTAAACAATCTCATTTAACTGCAGTGAAGAATATACAGTTCTTGGTTATAATAACAATAATGTCCTTGTCAAGTTAAAGAGCAAATATCTGGATGGCACAAAATGGTAATAAAAAATCAATTTAAACAACTTCAGAGGGACAAATATTATATTTATGGCAGAAGACGGGAGGATATGTTTATTGTAAGAAAAACAGCATGTCTACATGTTCAGGCAGAAGTTCATAAGGTTAAAGTAATTTCATTGTCCCCTCTGGCATTTCATGTATGTAAACAAAAACAACGTGTGCACTCTGGGTGGCCTCATAAGGTTCTGACGTTATCCGTGACTCAAATCTTTATATCAAAGCACATTATTACATCTCTCATGTCAAAAACTCTTCATAGATAATTTGGACTTTGGTTAGACGTCCAAGGTTTGTACAACTGCGATGTGAAAAGGTGGATTATCAAACTGTTCTGTACTAATTCAGGCCCATTGTGTCACATGCTTCCTGCTCTTGCCAGCACTGTGGTCTATAAGCTGCGCGTTGTACAAGGACAGCCATTGTTCTAGTGGATAGAAAAGATTCCATCGGTGCTCTACTTTCACAACGAGGGAACAATTTTCCGAATTTGATGTCTCAGCTGAACCTCCTGAACCCTGATTGTTCCCTTCATTTCCCTTCAGTCGCTTTAAAGTCAGAGGGGAGAAAAAAACTTTGGGAGGATTTCTGCATGAAAGAAAACACATAAGAGGGTCTCTGCCGGTCTTAAAAAAGTCTTAACAAGCACTGAATTTACTTTTATGTATTAGAAAGTCTTAAATATTTTATCTTGTCTGCAGTAACACTTGATTGCGATCTGTCAGGAGACATTGTACACACACACATTATACCACAGCATGATACGGCTCGACTCACTTTTGATACCAGGTATTTGTTTCGATTTTATTTTGGCGGGATCCTCACCATGACACAAACACAGGAACAGTGGAAGATATCAAAGTTGTTCTCGATTCAAACTCATATGTGTCAAAATGTAAACATCAAATTATTTACAACAAGAAAACTTACAGAAAGTAAATAAATCTCGCAGTAATACTGTTATATGTACTAGCTATGTCACTATATGCAGATGATTTTGTATATTATTTTTTAGGGAGATTGAATAGATTTGTGTTTTTTACATTTTGACATAATTGATGGCCTAAACCTGGGATTCACACTTTTGTTGAATCCTGTTTATATAGACTTTATGTTTTCTTTTGAGATTGTTTTTGACTTCGCACGTGATCATCATGTAGGCATTAGGCCAGTGTATTGGCAAGAATCTGATGATACGTATTACGATACAGTGGTTACGATTCAATATATTGCCATATATTGTGATACTGGAAGCAACACAATATATATTGTGATTTTTTTTTAAAAACAGATTTTAGGCAAACATATACATATATGGTACTGAATCTAAGTAAAACAAATTCTGCTTTTGTTTGCGTTTGTATTAATCAGTCAGTCTCTGTAACAGCCAACATTATAGCCCTCTGTTCAGATTTACAACACTGCTATCTAGTGGTTTGTCGTTTAAATACAACAATCATTACACAACATATTGTAATTTCGATAACTTTTGATATTTTTTAACGCTCTACCTTCACTGATTATCTACCAGAGAGCTTTGACAAGTTTATTTTTCTTCTGCAGAATAATTTGCTCAGTATTTTGGTCGAAAACACGGGAAAATTTAAGAGATAAAAATTTTTTTGCTTATGTTGTGAGTTTTTGAAAAAATGCAATTGGCTTGTTATCAGATACTTTTAATGCACCCGGAATCATCCTAAAAATTCCAGTATCGTCCAGGCTATATTTGTAATAACTTATTTAAAATTGTTTGAGTTTCTTCTCCATTTCTTCAAATCTTTTACCGTAAATTTTTCTCCTCCTCCCTCCCTCCCTGGTTGAAGCAGCGCCCCCTCCTGGGTGCCGGGAAGCGTAACTCCCTGCTGAGCGGTCGTCCAATCTGGATGGAGAAGATGGTCCTGGGTCGGGTCAAAGTCCCTCACACCTTCTCCGTCCACACCTACACTCGTCCCACCATCTGCCAGTTCTGCAAGCGTCTGCTGAAGGGCCTCTTCCGCCAGGGGATGCAGTGCAAAGGTGATGATATATTCTAAAGTATTTAATTTAAACTATTATACTTATTTTTATGTATAATTCAACCAAATAAGTTGGCTGGGTTGCCCCTAAAATTTATGATGAATGTTTGATTACATTGCTCATCTCTTCTGCTTCAGATTGTAAATTTAACTGCCATAAGAGATGTGCGGCCAAAGTACCTCGAGACTGCCTCGGTGAGGTCGACTTTAATGGAGGTGAGTTTGTGCGCACCTGACACTTGTTATCCTCAGTTTACTATATACTTACAGTATTGCAAAGTCTAATATAACATCTGTAAATTTTGATTTATATATATAAATGTATTCATTTTTAGTAAATTGTGGCGAAATCTGTATAGAAGGATCCAAAAATGCACAGAAGCAGCACTGTTGTTCGTTAGCTACCCAATAAAAACAAGAACCGTAACTTTACCTAATTTGAATTTGGCAAGAAGAAATATTGTATTTGTCACTGACAGCAACACATTTTATAGTTGCAATTGTATATTTTCAGAATTACCATCAGGATTCACATCAGACGAAGTGAAATTTGTTCCTAAAACCCTTTAAATTGTGTGTGTGTGTATCGACTTTGTACTATTGTTTTATTTTTATTTTCCTTTCTGTTTTATTTTGTTGTAAAGCACTGTGCTATTAAAATTAAGTCTCTGGAGATAATATATTGTGCAGTTTTCGTTCTTTTTTGTAGCCATTTGAGGAACTGCTGCTCTAAAGTACTTTTGACTTTGTTTTTCCACAGAACCAGCCAGTCCCAGTCTGGACTCCGAGGCGACGATGGAGGTGGACAACTGTGACGTCAACAGTGACGGCGGTCACAGCATGGACGAGCAGGACGAACTGTCCACCCCCGACGACAAGCTCTTCTTCATCGAGGGTCCCTGCACGGACGGTGAGAAGGATGACGAGACGCTCAGAGCCATCAGGTGAGTTCAGAATATGATGGATGGATACTAGTTAGAAAGTGGAAACTTCCAGATGCCAGTGCCTTCAAACTTTAAACCATTATAGAAATTCATTCATACTTTGGATCCAGTGTTTGCACAAGTCAATTAGTGTTTTAAAATAATCAGCACTTCTCTCACCAGAAGAGTTAAAAAGTTAGAAATGTTCAAAGTAGAAGATATTATTTGAAGACAAGCTTTAAATTTAGTCGTCATTAAGTCAATCAGCTTTACTTGCTCTGTTATCAGTAGCTTATGGTGGCCAGTATTAGCTTATTGTATGCAAATATTGCAGTATAACGCACATTACTTAGTCAGTCCACTAACTTTATATTTTTAACTTAACAGAGTGCTGAAAGAATTAGTCCTTAAACCCAGAAATGAGTTAGTATTTTTGCACCTCCAGTTCCACTTGCCTCAAAGTCAGTGAGTTTCTTGAATGGGCTTTTGGTTAGATGCCTGAAATAAGATCTGTGGTTAACACAAGTATAAGAGATTGTGAGTTATAGTACTGAAAGGTCAGAGATAAAGCAGGGGGAGAGGCCATAAAGAGACTTAAAAGTAATCAGTAAAATCTTAAAATTAATTCTAAAACATACTGGGAGCCAGTGTAAAGAGAATAAAACAGCAGTGATGTGTTCATGTTTCTTGGTTCTGGTTAAGAGCCTGGCAGCTGAGTTCTGTACAGTCTGGAGTTGATCAATAGATTTTTGGTTCAGGCTGTTGCAATAATCCAGGCGTGATGAGATTGAAGGCATGTAAAATGATCCCTGTGTCTTAAAACGTTGAGAAAGATCGGATTTTTGAAATGAAGATGATAAAAAACACTGTTGCTGAAGCTGTACGGACAAGCAGGGCGAGCTACCCACATTCCCGACCGTGAATTTTGAAGCTCTTATGCGCCATAAAAACAGCGTCTAGTGTGTGTAAATGAGACGTCAGAGGTTGTCTGGGTTATTAAAGGTCAGCACACCAAGTTAGTTATTTTTTTCAGAAAGGTGATTGTATTCTTAATTATTGTTTGTTGTTCATTTGTTCACATGCAGCCCGTGCACCAGCAGTAACATCCCTCTGATGCGTGTGGTTCAGTCCATCAAACACACCAAGAGGAAAAGCTCCACAGTGGTTAAAGAGGGCTGGATGGTCCACTATACCAGCCGCGACAACCTGGTGAGAAGAGATACCAAACATACAAACACGCACACAAAATATGTATGTGTGTGTCTGTAAATCCCTTGTGACTGTGTAGCCACTTTGAATTCAGGGCGGGAATGGCGGCCTCCACCACTAGCAATCAAGACTACTATACAGAGCCATTCTGTGAATGAAAACACATTGATGCGGACCATAATTATAACCAAAAATGGGGTTTGAAGGATTATACGCATAAAAAGCTCATTATAATGAATGGCTCCTTTCAGTGAATCATTATTATTGATTATTATTAAGTGGTACTTTAATGTTGCAGCTGGTCATGGTGGAGCTACCTTATAATTAGTTTATATACTGTTAGGTAGTGTACTCTTAAATAATTCATAATATTTTATAAACTAATCACGTTTTGTTTGTAAAATCTTACAAATACAGTAAATGTAGTTGAGTAAAAAGTACAATATTTGGCATAAAGTGAAGTTGAAATACTGTATGTGTGTATATGTAAATTAAACACTTTTGAATCTATAAAGTTTTTATCCTGATGAACTTAATTTTGTCTTTCCAGAGGAAGAGACATTACTGGAGGCTGGACAGCAAGAGTCTGACTCTGTTTCAGAATGAAAGTGGAGCCAAGTTTTACAAGGTAGGAGACCCAGTCAGAGCAGATCTGGTTTCAGCTGCTCTGCCAAACAAAGCAGCGACGTGAAGAGAAGAGTGGAGGGAGTCAGGTTCATGCAGTAACAGCCACGAGACATTAACACACATCACTGTTTAATTATAACCAGATTATTCGCTGTAATTATTCTTATCAGGTCTGGATGTTTGCAGCAAGTTGTAACCTTCCACTGAGGAAAATTTAGAAAAGTAATATATGAGAAACAAAACTAAACTACAATTTACATTTCAATGCATTTCTAAAACATTATTTTAAAATAGTGATACTTAAAGAAGGGAAATCATTTTAAGCTGCCTCAGTTTATGTTTGATACATATTTCTAAAATTTGGTCTACGTCAGTGAAATTAGAATGTCATTTTTATTCCATTTGTAAGGCAGAAAAATACATTTAAATAAAAAAACAACGTCCCAGCAGGATCCATTTAGTAGCTGTTCTGGAGCTTTTTAAATTGTATTACACAGACTCACTCAGCAGATGGAGTTTGCCCAGTTGACATGAATTTTTCTGAGCTTTTTAAAATAGTAAATGGGCTTTGTGGTGAGCTTTTGTTAATATTTACATTATTTATTCTCGTTCACTCAGTCATGCAAACAAAGGATTCAGAATTACTTGTTCAGTCATTGCAATCACAAAATAGAAAAACAGAGCTCAATGTGACTTCAGATATGTTTAGTCAAGCCAACAATCTAAAAGCATAGGCTGCATAAAAATGGATGTAGTCTCCGTGGCGTCACCCAAAGGTTTCTGAAGAAGCTCAGTAAGGTCACTCTGGCCGTCGCCATCTTGTCAGTCCTGACCTGACGGCTAATCCGAAAACGGGCAAAGACATGAAGCCTGGTTGCTGAAATCAGCCACCTGTGACGGCATCGACCTGTCGCTCAAAGCAGTCGTGCCCCTAATTATGCATTTCTTTAAGCCTTGACATAATTTCAATGGGTGACTTGTATAAAAAATCAACCCCACCTACAGTTGTCATGAACAAGGAAATAAGCTGTAGAGACCAAAATAATTTTTTTGAAACAGGCTGTAAACATTTCTTCTTTAAAGTAAAAGCATTTTAATGGGGACTTATGGAGATTGACTTGCTTTTGTAGTGAGCCTCAAGTGGCCATTTAGGGAACTGTAGTATTTGGCACTAGTATTTGGCGTTGGCTTTATTTGTCAGCCACAAAGTCTGCCGCTTGTCTAAAGCCAAACAATAATTTACAAAGATATAAGACTATGGAGCCTGAATGGTCACAGTGGAACTAATTCTGTGTTCCCTTGCAATAACTTCCCCTCCAATCCATCCCTCTGAGCTGTATTATTAGCCAGTATTTTGTATTAGACCACCGCCGGTTGTGCCCAGAGTGCGATTGGGCACAACCTCAGCTATGGCTGCTCTGGCTGATGGAGCCTTGCTCTCTCACCGACTGCTGCAGAGGCCGATTCTGTAGCTGTGATGGTGACGATAGCAGTGGGACGACAGAGCTTTGTCTGTTTCTGTCGCTGTGATTGTGGCTGTAGCCATGGTTGTGCTTTCTTTGTTATCATTATAGCTGTGACACATTAGTTTATAATGGGTGCAACAATAACTACATGCAGGGGTGGTGTGTTTACAGTGAATTGACGTGGTTATGTTGGCTGAGCATTGTGACGCTACTGTATTCCTGAACTCTCTTGCTAAAATTAATGTTGGCTGCTGTCTGATAGAAGCAACACGGGTTCATACTCGTATGGCTCAACAATGCTTTCTTGGCTGCTCTTAATAGCAGCAGTAAGATAAGATAAGGCCTTTATTGATCCCCAGAGGGGAAATTCAGGTGTTGCAGCAGCACAAGGACAGAAATAAGCACAGATAAAAAGAGAAAGTAAAAGATAATAAAAAGAAGTCACAGTCCAGCTCCTGTAGCCATAGCATCGTAGATTCAACCACAAATGCAGCCCGAGCAATGATCATATTCACAGCTTCAACTTCCACGGCCAGTCAGAGCAGCTGTATACTGCAGGAGGAGTAATAAGCAATAAATAAAATAAAATGAATAACAGGCGCTCCATATCAAACAGAGAAAATCAGCTAATCATTTGAGCATTTGAGAAGCTGGAACTAGAGAATGACTGGAACTTTTTTTTATTAATCAACACTTTCTGCATTACAAGCGTCGATACTGTTGCTGTAATCACTTACAGTTAATCACTTACAGTTTACTATACATGGTTTTGAATGGTGGTTAAGCTGAATTAGTCTGTTTGAGTTGTCCTCTACAGTTTAAGTGGAGACCCGCCAACCATTTAGAAACCTGGAGGAATTAAAGAGAAGGTTTAAGATTGAACTAAAAAGAAATCAGGTGGTAAAATTTTAAATTTGGAAAAAGGAAAAAAATGTTTCCTTGAAATATATAAAATGATCACATTTGAATTCAGGTCAGTATAGCTGCAGCTCTTTTCATTCTGTATCATTTTCCTCTCTCATACTCCACCTCCTTTCATCTTGTGTCTGCCGGCGACCTGCTGACCTTTACCACAAAGCGCTGCAGAGACCTTCCTTTGAAGAGAAAGCGAGAGCGGGTTGAGGGAGGGGGACAAGGCAGAGGGGGAGATTTGTGGTGGTTTTTGGGACCTCGGGTCGCTTCCCTGCCGTCTCTCTGGCTCATCGCCACTCTGCCTCGTGCCCAAAGTGGCTGAGGCACGTCCTGCCTTTTAATCAGAGCGGCGGGATGAAAAGATGCTGATCGGAGTTTGTGGTTAGGGGTGAGGAGGGGGGCGGTGGATGAACTTGGCAGAACACAAAACGTTCAGATGACACTGAGGGGCACGAAGACACCGCTGGGCCGATCATGCTCCTTTTATATGTTTGATCTGGCATAGGTTTTGGAGGGGTGGGGTGGTTTTTTGGGGGGGAGGAGGGGGTTGCACTCTGCCAGAAAAGGAAGGAAGGAAAGTTTCAAACACTGAAACTCAAAGAGCGTCTCACAGTTCAGCAGAGAGAGGAGAGGTGTTAGGATGGAGGGAGCTGGAACAGTGTCTTTTGGATAATTTCAAGCGCTTCTTGGTGCTTCTTATTGGAGGAAGTGACTCTTAAGATGGTACAGTTTTACCAGAATTTGAAGGGAGGAGATGTACAAGCTCAGAGGTTTGGGTTCCTGAGCTGAAAGTGGAGGTATGTCCAACCAGAAGAAATGTTTTTTTAGTGATTATTTTGGTCTTTTATGGGGCTTTTATGACCTACAACAGCAGGAATCTAAATGTTCTATGTGACTTTTTTATTTATCCTAACGAACAACAGGAGATCCCCCTGTCCGAGATCCTCCAGGTGGAGCCGGCACAAGACTTCGGCAGCCTGCCCCAGGGCAGCAACCCTCACTGCTTCGAGGTGATCACAGACAACATGGTGTACTACGTCGGGGAGAACAACGGCGGCCTGCACCACAACCCTGTTCTGGCGGCGACTGGCGTGGGGCGGGACGTCGGCCAGAGCTGGGAGAAGGCCATCCGACAGGCGATGATGCCCGTCACTCCCAAAGCGAGCGTTTGCACGGGGCCCGGCCAGGGGAAGGTCCACAGTGAGTAACTGCCAGAAACGTCCACTTTAGTCCAACTTCATGTTCTCTCGCTCTTTTCAGTTTTTCTTCTAGCAAACTGAACTCAAATAGAAGGAAATTGTGCATTTGTTGGGCACTATTTTATTTTGGTGTTGGTCTTTGCATGGAATTTATTGACAATAAGATGCCTTATGGGGGGAAGCATTAACAGAACAAGACTGGTCCCAAAAATTATCCCTGAGGGACTCCACGAGCTGTCGGGGCTACAGGGGGAGATACTGTTGTTAAAGGAGATTTAAAAAAAACTTCTATTCTGCTATTAATAAATGCAGATTTTGTTTTATTCTCACTAGAAAGGCCTACCAATTGAGCTTTATGAGGAACTGAACCCACAACACTGCATGTCTTTTACCCTTTGACACAGCAGTGGAGTCATCTCAAATCAGATTAGACTCTGATATGTTTTTATGTTTTTAATGGATGTGTGGATTTGTCTGGAAAGAGTTTTCAAATATTGTTTCAGGAGACAACTGTTATACAACACCACCACCTCCACACGCACACACACACACACACACGCACACACAAACTGACCGCCTGCTGACATTTTAACATGATTGAAGGGATTTCAGAGGATTTTCCGCTCTGATTCATCTCAGGTTAAAGTCTCTTTTTGTCTGAAAATAAGAGTTTTAAGTTCCCAGAATGAGATCTCCAGCACTAAATGACTAAATGGACCTCATGGCATTAAAAAAAATCACCATTAACTATTATGGAAGACCTTCATTATTATAAAACAGTTGTACTTAAGAGGATGTTGTCAGCTGTGTTTTCCACCTGTTGAGTAATTAATGTCAAGCTTCGGTTTCTTTCCAAAAATAAATGTTTGGTTTTCCATTTTCCATGAAATTACAGCAACACACATCAATAAGTAAATGGACAGATGATGTAACAAGGCTTTTTTTTATCATGTCAATGCCAAACACTACAATAATACATTAAAATGCACTGAATTCATACTATTAGTTCTTTAATAATAAACAGTAAGGTCTACATATTTGTCTTCCTCCTCCAAACTGCGGAAAAAGTGAGAATATAATAAACAATAAATTACAAAACATTACCCCAAAACACAGACTGTTGTGGAATGAAGGAAACAGACATTTCCTAACCGAGCATAATAAAATAAAGTCAGTACTGACATTCAGAATAATTTGGCTCTTCCTTAATGTTTTTGTCATGTTAAGCTCCTCTTAATAAAATTTAACACTTCCTGAAGATGTTTCACAATTAAAAACGTTAAAAAGTTAAGAAAGATTAGCCTAGCGTAGCATAAAGACTGGAAGCAGGAGGAAATATAAAAACTCACTGCTTAACGCATTTTGAGCTATGTAAAAACAAGTTGTGGTTTTTTGGGGAGTTATGTGCTTGTTATATTTCTTTTTGACAACCAAGTACAGCTTTCAGCTTTAGAGGTGCTGGTGAATAGATTTTTTTACAGACAGAGCCAGGCTGCCTGTTTTCCCCTGTTTCCAGTCTTTATGCTAAGCTAAGCTAACCACGTCCTGACTCCATCTCTGTACTTAAAGCCCACATGTGACATTGATATAAATCTTCTAACTCTCAGAAAGAAAGGAAATAAGCATATTTCCCTAACTCCCCCAAAAAAACAATTAATTTCCTGTGAGTTATACAAAATAAAACCACTCCAGGGTTGTTAAAGTAACCACAAACAAAACCAACAGCAATCATATAAAAAGTCATAAGAAGCCTTTTCCATTAAGGTCAATGGAGGTCCTGCAATTTAGGAATTTGAACTACACATCTGGACTTCCCACAGTTTACATTTCTGTCGATGAAGTTACGTAAACTCTCTGAATGATGACCTAACCGATGACCTGTTACAGCAGACTGTTGGTATCGATCGCAGAGGGATGACCCGATCAAAGTCCGACCAGCGATCTGAAATCAATATCAGCTCATCAGTGGAAATTCACTCGCACACCGAACGCGCCTTCGGCCTTTTAATGTCATGCCGAATTAACATTAGCAACAGTTTGTGAGCGTCTCCTTTATATTTACACGTAATTAAACACGGAGAGAAAGAGGGAGACAGGAAATGGAAGCTTTAATTATTGTGAAATCTGGAAAAGGATTTTGGAGGTTGTCATCGCAGCTGGAAACATCCTCATGTTCTTTCATCATGTGTTGAACAAACAAATCTGTTGGTTTGATCTCAGCTGGAAATCTCCTCTGTCGCCTTTTTCTTTAACAAACAAGGAAACCTAGGAAATGAGATTTTAATGATTTGAAGGTTAGAAAAATAAAACCTCACACGTGTCTGCTGTAAGTGAGGGAGTTTACGTGTGTGTGGTTTATGTTTTGCAGTATCTGTGGCTTGTACATTTATATAATGTGTTTTTTTTGTCTCCTCAGAGGAATTATCTATCAGCATATCAGTGTCCAACTCCCAGATACAGGAAAATGTGGTAAGTCATCACTCATATTATCTTCTTACAGAAGATTATTATGTGGTTATGACAAATGTCTCATATGATGAACCAAACCCAACATGTTCTGTGTTGAATTTTCTATTTAATAATTCATCATTTAAGTCTGGTTAGAAAGATAGCAGTGGTTAGAGTTTTCTACAGCATCTGATTTCTGAGTTCAGACAGATTTTTTTTCTACTTACGGAGTCCTAGAGCGACAAACACTCAAACATTTAACTGAATAATATTTACTGTAAAATGGGTTGTAAGAAAAGAAGCTTATGTTTTCTTAACATCCAGTTTAAGAAATAAGTCTACAGGCTTGGAGATCGACCCCATGAGACTAATTCAGTCATTAATTTTAGAGGTATAGCTAGGAACATCTTTACCTTTTGGTGGCTCTACATGAAACAAAGGGATCACTTAACACATTTGGATTCATCCTCTGGGGACAATTACATTTGTTGTTTGTCACTTCTGGGCCTCCATATTCCCTGTTAGGTGTCAATAACTAACAATAATAACAGACAAATGTCCTATTTACATATGTGTTTGTCTGATGTCTTTGTTGTTCAGGATATCAGTTCAGTGTATCAGATCTTTGTCGACGAGGTCCTCGGCTCCGGACAGTTTGGAATCGTCTATGGAGGTGAGTCACATGGCAGAAAACTTGGTCAAATTGAACACAACTGCACTGGCAGCACTTACAGTTCAGAACAAATGAAAACAGGGAGTCTGATGCAGTCATGTCATCCTCTTAAATCTGCCAAAAAGAGGCTCACAACGTTTTGTTTTGACAGATTGACTCCACCCTTCTGTCTGAACATGTGGGAAATGCAGATTACGGCATTTGTGGATCATCATTGTGTTTCCCTTCATTAAGTTAGCCATTACAGATGAATGAAAATGTCAGTAGAGAGCTAAAATGTTAGCTCTCTCCTCGTCCTCTGCAGGTAAACACAGAAAGACTGGCAGAGACGTGGCGATCAAAATCATCGACAAAATGAGGTTTCCAACGAAGCAGGAGAGCCAGCTGAGGAATGAAGTGGCCATTCTCCAGGTGTGACGCTCCGAGAGATTAAAGTGATATAAAATCTGATCAAATCTAACTGAAATTCATCTTTGAGTTCTTATTTTACATGCAACTGAAAAAAAAGTATTCAGAGAAGGAAAACGTCCTAAAACTATCTTTAAATTTCCTCATTATTATGTTTCTGACAGAACCTTCACCACCCGGGGATTGTCAACCTGGAGTGCATGTTCGAGACGCCCGAGCAGGTGTTTGTCGTCATGGAGAAACTTCACGGGGACATGTTGGAGATGATTTTATCCAGCGAGAAGAGCCGACTGCCCGAACGCCTCACCAAGTTCTTGGTCACACAGGTCAGTGACAACCAGGAACCTTCTGAATGATGGCAGCCAAACTTTGATTAGTGTCTACTCTGAAACTCAAAGTAACAAACCCAGAGTTGCCAGAAGTTACACCATTGCTTGGTTGAAATGGTGGCCATTGCTCTTTCAAAATTAATAGGTGCCAACATTATTTATGTATCATAATTCCAGATTCCGTGAGTACAGCCGCACCCCTCTGAGGCAATCTCTAGTGGGTTCATCCCCTCATTATCACAGCACTGAAGACTTTTAATTTACACCCACGTACTGTGTGGGCCCCACCTCGGTCTCACAGTGTGCACAAGTTGGACCAAACAGTCGGCTCCCAAAAACAGCTTTTCCTTCAGCGAGTTAAAGGAATCCAGTAGGGCCCACAGTTTAGAGAGACTTTGTCCTTTAACGCGGGACCGACAAGCACAAACACACCTGCTTTACAAGAAATCAATAACCAGTCCATACCTACCCATCGGGAACAACTTGGGGTTCGGTGTCTTGCTCAAGCTGGAGTTCGAACCACCAACCCTCGATTTAATGCACGACCCACTCTGCCTCCTGTACCAAGTCCACCACACACGGCATATTTCATCAAATTTATTCAGAAACTGGTTACGATGCAACAACTGTTTGTGTCCATAGATCCTGGTGGCCCTGAGACATCTGCACTTCAAGAACATTGTCCACTGTGATCTGAAGCCTGAGAACGTTCTCCTGGCCTCAGCAGAACCCTTCCCTCAGGTTAGAACAAATCGCCTCAAATCATCATTGTTTTTTTTCTTTTTGTCGCTTTAAATGTTTGATGAAACTTCAGAGCTCAACAGAACAAATCACAAACTTAAAAATTTGCCTCTCGCATCCTCCAGGTGAAGCTCTGTGACTTTGGCTTTGCTCGTATCATCGGGGAGAAGTCGTTCCGTCGTTCGGTGGTCGGCACTCCGGCCTATCTGGCGCCCGAGGTGCTTCGCAGCAAAGGCTACAATCGATCTCTGGACATGTGGTCAGTCGGTGTCATCATCTACGTCAGTCTGAGCGGGACGTTTCCCTTCAACGAAGACGAGGACATCAACGACCAGATCCAAAACGCCGCCTTCATGTACCCACCCAACCCCTGGAAGGAGATCTCAGAGGAGGGTAGGTCTAAAGTTTGTGAAAAAACTCCTCAACATCCAGCTAATAAATGTAGAGCTGCAATGATAGTAGATAAATCGATTTGTTGTCGGACAGAAAATATATTGGCAACTGTTTTGATAATCAATGAATGATGAAGGCATTTTTCAGGCAGAAATGCCAAAAAATCATCTGGTTGCAGTGTTCTGAATATCTTAAGGTTTTGGACCTTTGGTTGGACAAAATAAGACTTTTGATGACGTCAACAAGGAAATTTTTTGCTATTTTGACATTTTACACCAAAAGTTTATCAAGAAAATAGTCTGCAGAAAATAATAATAATTGTTGCAGCCCTAATTAAATGCAAGTTTATTTTAGTACCAGTGCATCACTGTATGTAGATGTCCTTAAAACAGCTTGTAGTGCTAAAGAGAAAAAATATTGAGACCAGAACAATAGTACATGTCAGATAAGTTGACTAGATCTTGGATATACAATAAAACTCAACCTAAACCTTAAAGCGCCGATGTTTTTAACAATACTTATTTATTTTAAAAAAGGTTTTAATGTTGTTTTTGTAATTGAAAATAATTTGGTGGAGCTGCATTTATAAGATGCCGAATTTTATCATCATCATGGCTGAATGCCTCTGTATGGATTTTGACTCTGAGTGCTTGTTCTTCCTCACAGCCACAGACCTCATTAATAACCTGCTGCAGGTGAAGATGAGGAAGCGCTACAGCGTGGACAAGTCACTGAGCCACCCGTGGCTGCAGGTAACCCAAGCTGCTTTTTTTTTTTACAAATCTTAGGCTGCATCCACACTGCCACGTTTGTGCTTTTGTCATCATGGAATCACCTGTATGTACGCAAATAACAAGGTTAGTCAGAGAAAGCCGACGTGTTTACAGGCAACCTTGTTACTGTCAATCTGTGTATACTTGCAGTGAGTCAGTAATCACACCTTAGTTAGGAAGCATTACTTATTTATCTGAAGTGTTGTGGTGATACAATATGCTGCTTCCGGATGTGTAAGAGCACAATTTTTCCTTACAGGGCAAATGTCACATGCTCACATGCTCATACAGTATGTAAAAAGCAGATTAGATACATGCTTACATGTATACATGACCAAGAAATCTGATACATTTAGTTTTAAATTAGTTTGAAGCTATAAAAAGGGGCTTCAGAATCTCACATATACCACCTTTAAAACTGCCCATTGTGAGTGTGATGTTTTTACGACTCTTGGGGTTGAAGTTTGGGGCTGTTTGTTTACTGTTCTCGTCATCTTGCAGGACTACCAGACCTGGCTGGACCTCAGGGAGTTCGAGACGCGGCGAGGCGAGCGCTACATCACCCACGAGAGCGACGACGCCCGCTGGGAGGAGCACGCCGACGAGAGAGGCCTGCACTACCCCAAACACTTCATCATGTCGCCCAACTTGGACGACATGGAGGAGGACCCCTAGGGACCCCCCGGAGGGTAGATATTTCACACAAAAGGAAGCAGCAACACCGGAGAGTCCCTCAGCGGTTGCGTCGGACGCTCTGGAGTCCATGGAAACTGTCACCATGGAAACCACAAGCTTTCCCTAAGATGGTGGTGGAATAACGTTTGTTCGTGTACGCCAGGACGCGGCGGTCAGGCAGCTGTGTGAGGACATTGTGACATGCTCACTGCAGCGATAATTCAGGTCCAGAGAACTTTAATTTTAACACATCTTACCTTATTTTTTCTGTTTCACTGCATTCTTCTATAAGCCATAACAAACACCCTGGAGGCCAAAAGCTGGAGGGATTTTTTTATTTTCCCAGAATTCCACATACAATAAATGTCTGCCATGCCAGTCAAGCCACAGAAGGGCCAGCTAAAGACAAATCGAGAGCCTTTATATACTTTTTCAGCTAAGATAGCATATTTTTATGACGCCGTTGTTACATTTTAGATCTCATGAATCTGTGTAGCGATTAGGTATTTTTCACATTTGTTAAAGTTGTCCTATGTGACGCTAACTGGATGTCAGCAGAAACAAACATGTTTAATGTATCGATTATGTTTTGATTTTTCTTGATGTTTTGTTTTAATTTTTTTCGTTGTTCTTTGTTAAGATGTCTTTGCACTATTGGGAAACTCTTTTAAAAGGAGAATTTCAATGATAATAACTTTTTGTTTGTTCATCTGCAAAAATGGTTCATCTTCTAATGCTCATTTCACACCAGAAAACAGAATTATTGGATTAATGAAAAAACTTTCCACTATACGGGAAGTAATTGTAAAGTTTTGAGGAAAGGTCATGTTACCAAAATCAAAAACTGTTCATCCTCTGTACGGTGGCCTTTTTAGGACATCTCAGACTCAGCTTGTCAGGCTCAGCTCTGCACAGATTAAGCTTTCATCGGTCAGAGCTGAATGTTAATGTTATGCAACAGAATATTAACGTGTGTGTGGTTAACATGCATACAAAGTATTGCATACTAAATGAAAACGTCCACTATTTTTCAACCTGGGTTTTAGTTCTAGCTCACAACCTCAATTGTAGCGATTCAGGAAACATTAACTAACCTTAGCATGCGTACATGCCAAATGTCAAAATGCAACACGGCAAGCAGCGTGAGCGTCCTAAAACGTTCCTTGTCTCCAAGTCCAACATTGAAAGAAGCCTCCCAGATTAGCTTTTTATGCTAATTGCATAGGGATTTACTTCCAAGACTATTTTCCAGCAAATGTAATTAGCGCAGAAATAGTAGCTAATGTTAAAATGCTCAATGTTAGCCGCGTAATGTAACATTAAGCATCTTAGCTTGTCCACATGTCAATAGTACCCTGTAAAAGTGGAGTTTAGCATATTTGCTAACATTTAGCTTTTTTATTTAACATGCTTTTTGTATGTTAGTATTAGTCACTAGTTTCCGAGGTATTTTTAAATATTTTACTTTTAAATTGTAGAATGAAGAATCAGTTATTAAGTTTTATCCTCTGGGGACCGTGAATGTCTGAATCAATGTCCGTTAATCTCATAACCAAAAATACAGCTTTAAGACTCATAAAACTCTATTTAAGAGCAGACACCAGGTTGTGCCTGTAATACTTTTGCAGAGAGACAAATTAAGAGTTATTGTCAGAGTGATTCTTTCTGAACCTTTGGATGAAGACGAGCTGAGAATCGAGCTGCTATTGTCTTTCTTTGGAAACCTGCCTGAGGAAAAAAACCGACTGAACTGTAGAGCGTTGTTGATCTGATCTGACTCCAGCCTGAGAATTTATTTCACACATTTTATATTTTTGCAAGAAATGTTGTGTCATGTGGGTGACTTAAAATATTAAAGCTGAATGGTTTACTTTGGGGAAAAATGTTACTTATTTAAGTCGGATCTTCTGTCAGACATTACAACCAACAGCAGCATCACTGATGTATAATTCACACAGATCTTTAATTCTCACAAATAATTTTTTAAAAAGATAAGAGAAGTTGGAAGGGGAAGGAAAACAAAGGTAAGGTAAAGTTGACAATCAACTGCGTTACTTTTGAGATGTTCATATAATGTGGAGGTTCTATGGCAGGTAAAGGGTGCTGTTGAAGGCAGATGGTGGAAGGAGTGTAGTCTCAACTACTGTCAAATATTTCAGTTATGAGGATTTTGCACAAAGGCACTGATATAAAAACACATAAATTAATGGAGTGATACATCTAAAATTCTGCTAATCTTTGTACATTTTTTACCCTGCGTCGAGTTAATAATGGATTAATGGTTAATAAAGTATTGAGCGAAAGGACTGCAGCCGGCAGCTGGCTTCGGGGGATTTAACAACTAAAAGTGATTGTCACTGATTTGCTCAGATTATTATTATAATTAGTATAAAGTATCTGATAACATTTTAACTTTTAACCAGAAACAACACCAGACTCACTGAAAGAAAACCCAGTAACTTTAGCTTGTGGTCGATTAGTTTGTTTGTGTGATTGTGTGACTTTGGTGAGTTCAAACTATTAAAACACAAATAGTTTTATTCAATGGGGTGGCACTTCGAACAGAGCAATATAATGGCTGTCTCTTGAAAAAAAAAAGGATTTTACTCTTTATGGAAAGGATCCTTACATAGACCTTTTCGTTAATGTTGTCAGAGACTTGGAACAACAATCTGAGTCAGTGGACGTACATTGACTTGATTGCAAAACACCACAGTTACCCTTTACAGAGCGTCTAATCCCAAACTAAAGTCAGATTTAAAGGCACGACCCAACCCATCACTTAAACATCAGATTTGTTTCATGGTGGCAGTTTCAAGGTGAGAACAAAAAACACTTTTTTAAAAATATCTTCAGCTAGACGGGGTTCAATAAAATCCTTTAACTCTTTCCAAATGCACGAGTCAAACTCATCAAACCTGGTCAGAAAAAAAAGAGCAGACCCTCCTGAATCAGAGGAAAAGCTGATAACGATCCGCAGCAGGATGTTTGGAAACGATCATTTAATTACCAATCCTGAACATGATCGCCTCGCTCCGCCGCTCCTCTGGAGGACGGCTGCTTGTTTTGGCAGCGGCGACCCCACCACCCCCCCCCCAACATGTGTAACTGAATCTTTTAATTGCTACCGGAGGAGCGGCGGGCTCATTGTGAATGGCTGCTGCACAACTGTGAGCTCAGCTAACTGCTTCAAGATGTGGGTGAAGGCTGATGGGCCCGAGTGACGGCAAAGAAGGGAGGGGAAGGGATCCTTCTGCTGCGGGATGACCTCTGACCTTAAGTGGTGTCACAGTTTTGTCCCATTGCTCGGTGTCCGGTGACAGAACGCTCTGAATTATAAGGACCGGGAATTTTGAAGCCATTTAGACAATTAGGAATTTGAAAAGCAATACAATAAATGTAAAAAAAAAAATACACAAATGTTTTATTTTCTTGTATTTTTAGATCAAAATGTCTTTACAGTTAACCTGGTACAGCAAGTTTATTCTTTTTCTTTAAATTAGAGACATACACTCTCGTCCTTCTGCACGAATACATTGCATTTTTCTTTTTTAAATGTCAGCTGTAAAAACAGAATCGTCCCATGAACATGATCTTCTGAAATTTCCTGCATTGTTTGACCGAGCTACAAAACCTCTCTAGAAATGTTCAGACTGTTGATTGAAGTCTCCAAAGCCCCCTCAGGAGAAGCTGAGTTCGGTGAATCCGGCCACAGGCAGCGGTGCGGGGCTCTTCTTGTCCATGTTTAGCCCCTGTACCGTCTTGGGTTTGGCCAGCCGGCTGTGCTGCAGCAGGCTGAAGAAATGGAAGCGCTCGCCCATCTCTGTGGGGTTGGTCAGCATGTTGTAGCTGCTGATCAGCTGCTTCCTGGTGGATGCGTCGCTGCAGTTCCTCAGAAGAACCTGAAGAGAACAGCAGTGGAGTTAAAACATCTGAAAGGTTTCTGAACTTCTCCACCACGGTGCCCAAATCTTCTGGCTGATCGGTGTTATTATGTTTCTCACTGTATGACTGTGTGGATAAATAATCAGTAAATTATGATATCTCAAAACAATCACTGTCTCCTCCTCCACCAGTGTCACACTCACCTGCATTCGGGAGTCAATGCCCATGTTTTTCAGGAACGTCCTCTGTGGGATGGGTCCCAGACTGGCAACGCCCTGTCCTGCCATCCTCCGCAGGTAGCTGAAGTCCACGTCGGCGGTGAGGTCGGCCGAGCCGGGGGAGGACAGGACGTCATGGAGCTGGTGATCTTTAAAACCCTGATGAATAAAAAAAAAAGTAGAGCCTCAGATGTTTTCATTTTCTCTCGGTTTGGAAAAGAAACGATTCAACGTCAGTCTGCTGTTCATTTTAGTTCTCTGAGCTCAGAAACCCACACATGTGATTAAAGCACAATCACATAAATGCAACAAGTTTTATGGCCATTACATATATGCAGAAAATGGCAGTACAGATGTAGAAAATGACTTCCCATCTTGAGGAAATTCCAAACTGAATTAGTTCAAAATTATGATGTGAAAATTGAGAAAATGAAAATGTCAGAAGCAGAAGAGGAGTCTGGGAAGAGGAGCAGCGAGCCCATCGACCCTGGTTTCCTCTCCGCCTGCAGCCAATGCTTCCTACATCTGTTTCCTTCAACTGTAACTGAAGAGAGGGTCGGACAAAATGTCCTTGCTGACCGAAAATGCCCTCACTTTAAAGTTAGACTGGTCTGTTATGATGTCTATAATGTTCATTTTTTGTTGACACTGTCATAAAGGTGATAATTCAATGTTTTTATGGTGTTGTACTGGACTCCATTGTATTCAAAGGTGATTCTAATATTCTGCTGTCTCGCTTGTATTTAAATAGGAAGGACAAAAAATTAGAAGCTCAATATATGAGATAAAATATATAATCTCTCAATATAATGTCCTGGAAAATCTGGGAATATAGTGACTAGTTTTCCAGTCCTGGAAACACCTGGAAATTTATTAAAATGACCAAATAGCCTTGAAATAATCTGTTTTATCTTGGATTTTTTTGTACTTTAGGCCCTCACTCAGCTAATCTCCGTAAACCTGGGTACATATTTAGTTTGAAACTCGATTGTTGGTTGGATAAACTATATGACACTTCAAAACAGCGTTACCAGAAGCAAAGTGGAACTGACTTGCAGTGGTCTTTTCGGGATCTAGTCTATTTTTTTCAAAGCTGTTAGCGAAATTCTCTTATCTACATGCATTCAGCCTATTAATGAGTGGTTGCTGTGGTTGATAAATACATATGAAGGTGAATTATACGTGTAATGAACTATTTAACTTTCTAGAAGCTCAGTTTCCTGTAAAATAATATATCTACTTGATTTGAACTGTTACTTATGGGCCACATTAATGTAGTCTGTGCTGTCGAGTATTGTCAAGAAAAACAGCTGGAAAGGTCCTGGAAAACGATTGTTAAAAAGAGTAGGAACCCTGTTTATTGAATGAATTTAAATACTTCTGACAGCGTCACCTGAAACTGAAAATTATGAGCTTCTTAAACATACCTGTTATGAGCAGAGCTGTGTATTGGGCTGCACTAGATTGTACAGGTGTCCGTAATGTGTGAGTGTAAAGTGTTACTTTCTAATCTTACTCTGAATGTGTCCATCTTGGTCCCATTGTGGCCATAGTCAGCGATCAGCGCCGCGCCGCCGTCTCCTGCGATCCGCTGGGCTATCCGCTGGATGATGACTCCGCCCTCCGCACACACCTCCACGTGACTCCGCCTTTCATCTGCCTGACACACACACACACACACACACACACACACACACTTGTCTGTCTATGCTGTTTTTGCGAGTGATTTCCTACTAGGGCTGCACAATATGGTAAAAACATCTTATTGCCATTATTTTTCACAGATATTCAGATTTCATTATGATTCATGATTAGGTGGAATGATCTTTTTTTTACATCCAAACTGTAATTTTCACTGAAAAAACTATTAAAATGTGTCAGGGTCTGTAGAAAACAAACTGGAGAACAAGACTTGTAGACCAGGGCATCTCTTCAGGTGAGTAGTTCATTATAATGCTGTTTGTCACATCTTGCAGCGTCCTGCGATTGAAGAGGACACTAACAGCTCTTTTCTGAGTGAACTTTTCCTCGTTTATTGTTATCACATCACATACTAATGCCTCTTTGGATCTAGAAACCAGTTAAAACGGTCTATTGTTTAAACCTTTAAACACAGACAACCTCAGTTTCGACATTAATCCTTTTTTTCTGCAAACCTACTTTCTAAAGTTTTATGGTTTTTTGTCTGGTTTGATGATACAGAGGCTGAACTCTGAGCTCCAACCCCTCGAACTAGATTTAAGAGCAGGTTCTTCATCCAAACAGACTGATGATGATGATGATGTCAGGCCTCTGGCAGGATGTTCAAAGTGTCTGAAGTGAGCCAGAGAGGCCAAATCAAACAGGCTGTGAATGTATAGCTGGTATAAATGTGGGCAATAAAAACCAGATGGAGGCTATAAAACAAACCGCTAAGAGTTTATCTGAGGAGTTCATTTCCACAGTGTTTAAAAGATTAAAGACATTCTTCATTCTGTACTTTAAAGTTAAAATTATCCAGCTCTTGTGAGCGCTCTCAAGTTAAGTTAAAACCGCCTCTACGCTTGTATTTCTAGGTTGTTGTATTTTTTTTTATGAGCGAGTACACCTTCTTGACAACAGGACAAGAAAGACAATAATTACAACATTACCCACAAGACACCTTGAAAAACATTTAAAAAATGCATAAAGTTAATAAAAAACAAAACAACTGCTGTTAAATTACTGTTTTTACCTATGGATAGTGATGTTATGGCTATTTCTGGTTAAACAAAAAGAATCTTACTCTTTGATAAAGTCTATCTCTGTAGGGCTCCTTGTGGTGGTACTTGCAACGGTAGAATTGTTGGTTTTGTCAATGGAGTATGGTGGCCTGTAACGCTTGCTTATTTGTGTTGCTCTGAGATGTTGTGCTGTAATGCGACATATAGTCGTAGACAGCACCTTTAACATTGGGGATGATGATGCCGAGGCAGCTTTTCTAATCCGCCATGGTCAGCGTGCCAGTTTAACATCGCCGCCCCAGTCCAGATCCATTAGCTTACATCAGCTCAGGTCTTACTCACAATCATGTAGCATGTGTGCATATGGAATCAGGTTATTATTCTATTATTCATGTACTCTTTAATGAGAGTCTGTGGGGCACCTAGCCCATTATCAAATCTGTGAGAGTTGAGGCTGCACTCTCCATCGATATTAAGTCCAGGAAGTCCTTCAGCCAGTTATGTATATTAATGCAGTCCAAGGTTTGTAGTAGTCCTCTTTACAGAGAGGAAGTACGTTGTGTCATTCTCGCGTGTATATTTCACATTATGCAACAAGACATTGAGGAAGAACACTCATTATAACCTGTAAAACTACAACAACCAAGCCAATTCAAAACTATTTTAAACATATACGGTCTAATATAAGCGCTGTGTATGACGTTCATTTGAATAATTTTATATCTTACACAGTTGGACATAAATATTGAATGCTTCAGTATTGAGTCCCATTGATCTGCAATAAGTGGGTGAACTAATGTCTTGCTCTCACTGTAATTTGGAGATAGTGCTGTGAGGAAGAGATAGGGATAGGCAGTAGCAGCATCCCTTAATTTGCCATCAGAAACAATTGGAAGATCTCAATGTGATACCCTTTGCTGTGAGATTATTTAAGATAGATCTTAGCTGTAAGTATTGTAGAAATGCAGAAACTTTCAGGCCAAGCTGCATTTTCAGCTCATGGAATAGTAGAACATCTTCATCCCTGGTAACCGGTCCAATCTGAGTAAAATTTTGGTGTTTTCAAGGACATTTTTTTGTATTTTAGTATAATTCTTCTAGACTGGAATTTAGTTTTATAACACCGGTACAAAAGGTCTGAACAAGGAGCTCTAAAAAGAAATATCTGATAACTTTTATCTTAATCATTTTTCACAGATTTTTTTATATATATATATAT